CTGTTTCCGAGGCAATCTCCTTTGATTTCGGTGAAAACGTGCTAAGCTTTCGTTCGTCATATGACGGACATCATCAGAGCGAGGTACAATCGTCACAACAAAATTCAAGCTAACGAGTCAAAAAAACCTATTTGACCATAATATCTTGATCTGATGATGTTCATCATATGACGGACAAAAGCTTAGCATCTTTTCACCGAAATCGAAGGAGATTGCCTTGGAAACAGCGTCAGCATGAATGTTCCAGTAAAGCCAATCGACAGCCGGTCAAAAGGAATCCGTTGTCGTCTTCTGTTGGATCCGACCTTCGAATCTCTTCACCCAACACTTTCACTCGAAATGGAAGTAAGCTCGATTATTGAGGCTTCGAGACACTTTCAAAGGCAGGTATGGATGCAGTGAGGGTCGCCGAGTCCTAATTAGTTGTATCATGGTATCCATTAATCTTGGGTGGATTCTCCGTTTTGTCTCACTGGTCAGACTGGACGAGCTGACGCCATTTGGCTACTTTGATGATAGTCCTTTAGGCGTGTGTTACCCGTCTCCTTCTCCCCACAGCCGCTTTGTGACCAAAATTGCAAAAAAATGAAATGATTCATTTCATGTTATTTACTGAAAGCCATCAGACTACTCATGAGGCGCAGAGTCGATAAACGAGCCGCCCTTGGAGCGAAAGAGACGATGCGAGCGTTTCATTTAATCTTAAACTATCCTCTAAGTTGATGTTGGTAATTCATTTCAATCGTGGGACCTTCCAACATCAATCCAACAAATCACCTGAGGCAACCTTGACCGAGGGAGGTTCTCATTCTCGGTGCTGTGCAGTTGCTAATTTTGCTCACTTGGTTCAATTGAAAGTCCCACTCAGGAACCGAGGTCAGACGGTTCTATGTCTTGACAACTGAGACACACCGCCAATTGGCGGTGCACATTTATGCTAAACTCCTGTTCTGTACCATTTGCCGAACAAGCTGAAGCAGCGCGGCAGCCTCATTCTGGCTAAGTGGCTAAGCATAACGTCGACGATTGCAACGGCAAATGCATGTTGTCGAGCCGACGGAAAGACGACGGCGGAAACTTCTTGGTCAGCTGTTGCTCGGCATGACTCACGTGTTCTGGCTGACCCTGCCTTCCAGACAATCTTCTGGGGATCATGTAGACAAAGTTATGAGCCATTAATGAGGTTCCGATTCTTGTCATTTGTCTTCTCTTGCTATACATACGCTAAGAAAAGTAGAATTGGAACTAGCTTTTCAACAATGTCTACTTTCCGTAATGTTTTTATGGTGTTATTTTCTTGGCAAACTTGCTCATTACTAATACTAATATGAAATCGGATCAGGTTTGGTTAAGATTAGACTTCAACTAACTGAAAAAACCAGTACCAAAACCCAACAAGACAAGCCCTTTTTTTCAGGTGCTTAATGAAGAGGATTTTCCCAAATTACACGTTATAAATGAAGAATTAGGAGAGGCCATATATAGAATGTCCGACATTTTCTTCGATGTAAGGCGCACTGAATGCGATTTAAGCAAATTTGGCAGAGATAGGCTAATATCCTTGTCTGTTTTAACTTCAGACGATAATGTAAAAATTGTGTTAAAAGCAAGATTGATTATCGCTCTTTTAAATGAAGTAAACCATTTTCTGGACATATTTGTTGGATTAATTAGCTTATCAGATGTTGTCGAGAGTAAGTTTAACCTGGAGGTGATTACTCATTTTGATCAGACAGTCACATCGAAGGAAGCTTGTGTTCTGCGGAGGATTTCTAGCTATTTCTGAAAAATTAATCTGATTTCTTGGAACTCCGCATAAGATTAATCAGTGGTCATTATGGCTAGGTAATGTTATTATGGAACAATTGTTGGTCCATTTGACTGACACTGATGCATAATTAATTGTCAGATAGGGGCGTAAAAACTAGGATGAAAGATGTCCTGAAGGTGTGCGTAAGTGATGGAGAGACTGAACAGTAGAAACTAG